TGATAAGAATTAACTCGGAATAGAAAAATGAATGCTTCCTTCTCTTGAACTAGAAAGAAAAGTGATTTGGAAGTATAGGACTCATTTTTAAAATACTCTAAAACCTTGTAGTAAGTATATCACTCAAGATGATGTGATGTATCTGTTCAGCACCCTATTGTCCCATCATCTAATATCAAAACCCCTCTTCCTATAGGAAGACCATTCTGTTGTTTAGGAGGGGCTGATGGGGTTCACCGATCTGGACTAAAGACCTGGGCTGTGACAATTAGAATGCCCTACCCAACCAGGCCAAAGTCCAACAGGAAGAAAAACAGAGGGAGGTGTTGTTGTTGTTGTGTGTCATTTTAAATAAATGCAGGAGCTATAGTAAGACAGTCCCTTTTAAACAAGGTAGCAAAAAATGTCCCTTTCAAATGAAGTTGTCCAGATCATATGAATCCAGGCCAGCCAACAGTCATTTTGCCCACTTTTTTGTCTACTAACATAATTAAGACAAAAAAATTCAAGAAAAGCAGAGATACAAACAGATTATTGATGACAAAATGTGAACTCTGGAGTCAATCATGTGAAAAATCATCTCTGACCCTAGATTTCCCAGTTATATGAGTCAATTCTGTCACATGCAGCAGAAAGGGTCTTGAATAATATAATGCCACAAATGCTTAACTTATATATATATACACACATACATATGATAGAGACTTCAAAATGAAGCCTTTATCTTGTCACCTTGGACTCTGGAATCTGTAATAGGTAATTCTGCTTTTTATTTACATCCATTGGTTAAATCTTATCCCAAACCTGTCTTTTTGGTGAGAAATATTTTTAAATTTATAATTTTTAAATTTATTTTACTCTGAAATACAACAAACAGAAAAATGCATAAAAGTTAAATGTATACTTTAAGGATGCATGTAACCACTATCTAGGTTAAGAAAGAGAACACTGTCAATAGCTCTGAAAATCCCTGTGTCTCTTTTCAGTTATGGTTCCCAGTTTCTCCCTAAAGAAATCACTTTCCTAACTTTAACAGTTATCACTTCATTGGTGTTCTTTATAGTTTTTTCCATCTATGTAGCATCCTAACAATAGAATTTAGTTTTGCCTGTTACTGAACTTTATGCAAAATGGAATCATACCAAATGTAATGTTGTACTTTGCTTTTTTTAAACTAAATCTTATGTTTATATGATTCATTTGTATGCACCAATGTAGTGTAAAATATTCATTTCCATTGCTGTATGGCATTCATACTCTAAGAATACCATAATTTAGCCATCTTACTAATTACAATTCTAATATTGAACATTTTAGTAGTGGACATTTGAATTGCTTCAGTGTTTTGACTGTTATAAACACTATTAGGATAAAAGTAATACAAGTATTTTAATGTACAAGTGCATAAATTTGACTAAGGTATGTCTAGGAGTAAAACTTCTGGGTGTGCATATCTTTATTAGATAAAGCCAAACCAGTTTCCAAAGGAATTGTGCCTAGTCATAATTTTTTTAAAAAAAATTCAATAGTTTTAAACATGCTAGATTATTCAAACATAATCCTTCCTGAGTTGGAAAGCTTCTATAAATGCCAATATTAGTATACATACAGTAATTTAACCTTAAAAAAGAACATAATCTTCTGAATGTCTAAAAAGGTACATGTTCAATCAAAAAATTTAAAACTACTAACAATAAATATGGTAGAAAATATATTGGGTTACAAATTATCTAAGATATTTTCTATAATTTTTAGAGTAAGTGAAATATAATCAGATCATAATTTATTATGACTAAGAGATAAAGATTAATATTATTATTATGAAATTACAAATTATTATTGTATATTTGATTACAAATGCAGTTGAACATTGTAATGGTTGCAGGCAATCTGTACTATAACATTCTCCAACTGTAAATGACAAATCTCTTGTAATTTCATAAATGGATGTATAAAAGTCTACTGTGATAAACATTTAATTCTCATTGCCTAAACTACTACATGTTACAAAGCTATTGTCAAAGCATCTAGAAATTTCCAAGTACAAGAAGAGGCTAATTAATTCTTTAAACTATTTAGACATGAAAAAAATCCTAAAAATTCAAAACTGTTTTTGAACATACTTTCATTTTTGGTCTTACTTTCTTCTCAAGCAATGAATGTGAAATATAAATGACTATGGGTGAGGAAAGGACAGCAACCCAAAAAGAAGCAGGCTCTGACAGTGATTAATATGGAGCTTCCAAAGATGTCTGGCAGCAAAAAGAAGCAATAGCTTATGTAACTGATAACAAATTAGTCAGTAAGACCCTAATAATGTATCTCTCTGGAACCTGAGATAGTGTGTTTGATGAATTGTTTAAACCAGTCCGTATTCTTCCATTTGTTTAAACCAGGGAGACAAAAATATAGTAAAAAATAAATTACAGTTAACTTCTGTTATTCAAATTGGTTGAATGGATGGGTTGGTTAGTTAATGGAATATACTAATTAACAGAATCATCAAACATACTGCCAATTAAAAATTAGAAAATAACATGTTTTTCATTAACAGAATGCTGAATATTAGTTCATCTTTCCCTTAAGGATTCTAAAAGGATTTCTATATTTCAAGTTACTTTTATAAAAGCCATGAAAACACTGAATAATTCTATTAATGTAGAAAGTGTGAGATACTAGACTGAATTTCTGTCCCTCTTGTAACATACACTGGAAACTATCTTGTTGCATTTCACTAAGGCTGACTCACCACGTGGCCCTTATAATAGGAGAGTACATAATGTAGAAAAAAATTCTAGGTATTTGAGCTCTCTAGTTATTTGAATCTCTTTCTTTCTCTCTTTGGGGGCGGGGGTGGGGAGGGTGTTGCCAAATAATTATGAACTTACAATTAACCCAAATTCCTGTAAAATCCAAAACAGATTTCTCAGAGAGATATTCTTCTCACTGAACGTTAATGAATATATTATAATATGTTAAACAGGGTTACAGGTAAAAAATGCTAAACTACGGTATGTTCAAAGATTACTTTGTGGCCGGGCGTGGTGGCTTATGCCTGTAATCCCAGCACTTTGGGAGGCTGAGGTGGGAGGATCATGAGGTCAGAAGATCAAGACCAGCCTGGCTAACATGGTAAAACCCGTCTCTACTGGGGGAAAAAAAAAAAACTTAAATTAGTTGGGCATGGTGATGCACGCGCCTGTAGTCCCAGCTACTCAGGAGGCTGAGGCAGGAGAATGGCGTGAACCCGGGAGGCGGAGCTTGCAGTGAGCTGAGATGGCGCCACTGCACTCCAGCCTGGGCCACAGAGCGAGACTCCGTCTCAAAAAAAAAAAAAAAGAACTCATCAACTCCTAAACTTTTTCCTTCATTCAATCTCCATAAATATATTTTCTATCTCAACTCAAAATACAACATTCATCCAGTCACCAAAGCCAGGAAACTAGATATGTCACCTTTGACTGCTCCTTTGCCAGTCCATCCACAAACCTAACAATTTTGCTCCCTGAATGTTTCTTAATTCTGCTTTTCTCTGGGCTCTCAACATCTCTCATTTAAATTGACATTTTCTTTTCCTTTTTATTACTATTATTTTTTGAGACACAGTCTCCTGTTGCCCCAAGCTGGACTGCAGTGGTGCAATCAAGACTCATTGCAGCCTTGACCTCCCAGGCTCAAGTGATCCTCCCACTTCAGCCTCCCAGGTAGCTCAACACCACAACGGGTGCTTACCACGACTATGGGTGCTCACCACCATGCCCAGATACCTTTTGTGTGTGTGTGGTAGAGATGGTGTCTCATTATATTGCCTAGGCTGGTTTCAAATTCCTGGGTTCAAGTGATCCTCCTGCCTCAACCTCCCAAAATTGTGGGATTACAGGTGTGAGCCACTATGCCTGGCCATATTGATATTTTCTACCTGGTCTCTCTGCTGCTGTCTGTTTCCCTTAATTCTGCCCTTTACACAGGTATTAAAAGAATTTATCTAAAATGATCATATGACTGTATTATTCCCTTGCTCCCAAGTGATCAATGGTTCCTCATTAGCTCTAGAATAAAGTCGGCATTTTTGACATATTACAAAGTCTTCACAATTTCCCATCTTACCATTTTTACGTCATACCACTCCCAGTGTACAACTGCTACAGTAAACTGTAATTTCATATTGTTCCCTTTGTACACTGTGCCCTATCATATTTCCATACATTTTCTCATACTGTGATTTTTGTCAATAATTCTTTCCCCTTCCCTTTCCCCTCTCACCTTCTCCAATCTCATTTATGTCTTGACAAAGCCGCCACCTCCTCCAGAAAGTCTTTTCTGAAAGTTCTGGCAGAGCTTGGTTGGGTAATTCTCTTCTCTATTCTCTTAACCTGTGTATCACTTTCCCTTAGCATACTGTAAGTTATTTAATGAGTATGTATTATTTTTGTCATCAGAAAAATAAAGACACATAAAAGAGAATGAAAATTATAAGTGCATGCCTACATTATCTGTGCCCCATCTTGGACTATGAAGCCTTTGAGAACACAAATTATAAATGATTCATCTTTATAACCCCACTTCATAGCCCAGTACCTGACAATTGATGCTCAATAAATGATCTGTCAAATGAAGGTAACTGACAGGAAAGAGGATATATAAAAATACATCACAGAAATGATAAAGGACTTCCTTGTCACAGTACAGTGGGTCTTAATGGTCCAGGTCCTGATATTTGGGCAGTTACACCAACTTCTTTAATTCCAGAGAATTCTAGTTAAAAATAACTCCAAATAAGCAATTTATCCTTTTCTAGACAACAAAACTAATTCCATTGAGAAACTGTCCTATTTTTGACATAATATTTCTTATTTTATCACCTAATGTACATTTTTAAAAAGATATGCCATATGTAATCTCCATCAGGTAAATGGGAAATAAGAAGGAAGAATAAAGGCAGTAGAAAGTACAATAAACTTGGCAGCACTGTGCTATTTATCACATGGACCGTTACTTACATGCAGCAGTAATACAGCAGCAAGAAAAGACTGCCCTTGACAGTATCCAATGTCTTCATCATACACAGAGTAGGCCTAGAGAAAAGATGAAAAGAAAGAAATATCATAAATAGTCACAGATTTTAACTTAAATGTTAGCTCATACCAGGCTCCTGCTTGTTCCTGTCCCTGGGCTATCCACCACAATTCCACTGGTCTTTCAAACTTGAATGTGTGTATCACTAGCACAGTGAGATCCCGAAAGAGGCTATGTATTTCCTAAAGCAGCTCTATGTCCCTTTATCCCAGGTTCATCTTTAAAATTTTGAAATAAAGAGATGCTCAGAGGACCTAAGTTAATTTTAAAAGATCCATTATGGTTTTAGGTCAGCTGTATGAGACCACAGGAGGCAGAGGCAAAAGGTGAGAGAGAGTAAGAAGATTCTAAGGTTGAAGTGTGAGTTCAAATGCACTAAAGGGGGAAATCTTGATATTGCTGAGACTGTAGTGCAGATTTGCTATTCTGACAACCCCATGCCAAAACAAAACAAAACAAAATCCCTTTAGAACCTCCAAAATTTCTCAAAGACCTTTTAAACTATCCTGCCATTTTTCATGAAGGCTGAAGAGTAAAAATGTTTCCTCCAATCTATACCACTGGGGCAAACCAGAAATATTTAGCATTGCCCCGTGCTTTTTGCAAAATGGCTAAGGGCTTCATGCTACATATATACCTGCTATTTCAGGTGCTTTGGCTATTCCACAGCTTTAACGTCATCTGGAATACAGCCAAAGAGGCCAATTTATAAGAAATACAGCATTCCTTGGGAAGTAGCTATCATATCATTCAACTTAACATTCCCTCTTAGTTTTCAGAGGAAAGGAAATAAGGCTGTATGCTTAGTGTATACTAATTAGTACTACAAACATCTAGGATTCTCTAATGCAAAAAAAAAAAAAAAAGACATGTTAGTTTTTGAGAGGCTGAATCAGTTACAGAAGGTAGAGTGTACAGATCAAAGGGTAAAGAATGGGAGTTAGAAAGCTTTTTCTGCAAAAGTTCGGAAAGTAAATATTGTAGACTTTGAGGAACACTTATAGTACTGGTTGCTTTTTTTTTTCTTAAGGGATAGGACTTTTTTTTTTAAACAACTTTTTAAAATGTAAAACCATTCCTACATTGGGGCAGTACAAAAATAGGCTGCATGGTCCAGTCACTGAACCCTGAATTAGAATTTTAAAATTTAGATGTTGCGATATGTATGTGTGTGTATATATTTTATATATATATAAATATGTATATATATTTTATACACACACACACACACATATATATTTATATATATATATTTTTTTGAGACTGAGTTTTGTCTCCCAGGTTGTAGTGCAACAGCATGATCTCGGCTCACTGCAACCTCTGCCTCCCAGGTTCAAGCGATTTTCCTGCCTCAGCCTCCTGAGTAGCTGCAATTACAAGGGCCCACCACCACACCCAGCTAATTTTCATATTTTTAGTAGAGACAGGGTTTCACCATCTTGGCCAGGCTGGTCTTGAATTCCTGACCTCAGGTGTTCCTCTCACCTCAGCCTCTCAAGGTGCTGGGATTACAGGCATAATCCACCATGCCCAGCCTGCCAAATATATTTTTAAAAGACTCTCAAAGAGTCCAGGATGTGTATCTCATCCCATGTATTCCATCTAGGTGTTGTACTTCATTTTAGTGAGGAGATTTCCATTTAATTTGCCTTATAGAATGTATTTTTATTTTGTCAGTATAAAAATTGTCTCTGTCTAGGACAAGGCTTATCAAAGATAACTAGGAAGGCTTCACTTATGGAGGGTAAGTGTAGTATTCCCCATATGCCAAAGTTGTCAGAGCACAGTCTGGAACTCCCTTTTACTCAAAAATATAAACTGTATTGATGTACAGCTGATATTCAGTGAAAGGCACACATTTTAATTGTACAGTTCCTTGAGCTGGGGCATTTATGTCGCCCTGCCATTATAAATATTTCCATCACTCCAGAATGTTCCCCCATGCCTCTCTTTAGTCAAACACCTCCACTCCAGGCAACCACAGATCTGAATTTTATCATATTAGTTTTGCATTTTTAAAATGCATTTTTAAAAATTTCATATAAATGGAATCCTACAATAATGTACTCATATAATATGTATGCTTTTGTGTCTAGCTACTTTTACTCAGCATAACGTTCCTGAGATTCTTTCATGTTGTGTGCGTCGGCAGTTCACTCCTTTTCATTGGTGAGTAGCATGAATATATACTGTATGAATATACCACGATCTGTTTATTCATTCCTCTGTTTCCAGCTTTCGGCTAGTATGAATGGGGCTGTAAATATATACATGGCATTTGTGGATACAGATTTTCATTTTCCTTGAATAAATACCTAGGAATGGAGGTTCCAACTTCAAATGTTAAGGTTAAGTTTATCTTTATAAGAAATTGCCAAATTGTTTCCCAAAGTGGTTATACAATTATTACACCCCTAGCAGCAACATATGAGAGTACCCTTTGCTTCACTTCCTTGTCAATACTTGATACTGTCAGTCTTCTTCCTTTTAATTAATTCCTGTAGTTTTGACTTTCATTTCCCTGGTAGCTAATGATACAGAAAATGTTTCCACTTACCTTTAGACAATTGATACATATTCTTTTCTGATTGTTCAATTTCCTGCACAATTATGCGTTGTTGGTTTTTGTTTTTTGGTTTTTTTGGAGGCAGGGTCTGACTCTGACACCCAGGCTGGAGTGCAGTGGCATGATCACCACAACCTCCGCCTGCCAGGCTCAAGCGATCGACCCACCTCAGCCTCCTGAGTAGCTAGGACTATAGGCTGCCCCACCACACTCAGCTAAGTTTTTTTCTATATTTAGTAGAGACGGGGTTTTGCCATGTTGCCCAGGTCTGGAGCTCCTGGGCTCAAGTGATCCAACCACCTCAGCCTTCCAAAGGGCTGGGATTACAGCCTGCCCAATTGTTTGAGTTGTTCATCTCATTATTTTTGATTCATAGGAGTTCTTCATTCTGTATATGTTCTGTATACAACTCTGTCTGAGTCCATTCTGGATGCTATAACAAGAATACCACAGACTAGGTAGCTTATAAACAAAAGAAGTTTATTTCTCATAGTTTTGGAGGCTACAAAATCCAAGATCAAGGCACCAACCAATTCAGTCTGATAAGGGTCAGTTTCCTGGTTCACAGAAATGTTGCCTTTTCATTGTCTCCTTACGTGGTGGAAGGAGCAAACAAGCTCCTTCCGGCCTCTTTTATTAAGGCATTAATCCCATTCCTGAGGGTTCCGCCCTCATGATGCAATCACCTACCAAAGGCTCCATCTTTTTTTTTTTTTTTTTTTTTTTTTGAGAAGGAGTCTCACTGTGTCGCCAGGCTGGAGTGCAGTGGCACGATCTCGGCTCACTGCAACCTCCACCTCCCAGGTTCAAGTGATTATCCTGCCTCAGCCTCCCAGGTAGCTGGGACTATAGGCGAGTGCCACCACGCCCAGCTAATTTTTTGTATTTTTAGTAGAGACAGGGTTTCACCATGTTGGCCAGGATGGTCTCGATCTCTTGATGGCGTGATGCGCCCACCTCGGCCTCCCAAAGTGCTGGGATTACAGGCGTGAGCCACCATGCCCGGCGGCTCCATCTCTTAATAGTATCACTTTGGCGGTTAGGATTTCAGCATACGAATTTTGAGGTGACACAAACAATGGGACCATTGCCAAGTCCACTGTCAGATATACATATTATGAATATGTTTTCCCAGTCTATGGCTTGCATTTTCATTTTCTTAATGCTGTCTTTCAAAGAGCAGGTTTCAATTTTGACAAAGTTCAATTTAATAGTTTTTGTCTTTTATGTTTCATATTTGTGTTTGTACATGCCCTGTTTTTATGTCACGAATATTTTTTCCTATGTTTTCTTTAGAAGTTTTTTTTGTTTTGGCGTTTACATTTAGGTCTGTAATCCACTTTGAAATAAGAAGTTTTAAAAACCGGGTAAGTCTATGTTCTACAACTTAGATCTTTTGCAAAACAGTTTATTCTAGATTCCTTGCATTTCCATATACATTTAAGAAATAATTTATTGTCTTCCTAGGAATGCCTACCATGAGTTTGACTGGGATTGTGTTGAATCTATAAGTAAATTTGGAGAATGATATCTTCACAATATAGAGTCTAACAGTCATGAACCTGATAAATCTATCTCCATTTATTATTTCTTAGGATTTTCTACATGCATAACCATGTTGTTTGTGAATGTTAGTTTTACTTCCTCTGGCCATATGCCTTCTTTTCTTGCCCTACTGCACGGACTCCAGTACTATATTACAGTGCATTCCAATACAATGATGAATATAAGTGCTGAAAGAGGAAGGACATCTTTGTCTTCTTCCAGATGCTAGGAGTCAAACATTGTCTTTCACCATGAAGTATAATATCAGCTATAGATTTTCCATAGATATCCTTCATTAGGTTTAGAAGTTTCTCTCTATTCTTACTTTGCTGAGCATGTTTTATCTTCTGTGGGTACTGAATTTATAAAATGCCTTTCATGCATCTATTGCAACTGAGAGACAGGACTAGCTGGATTTCCTAGGCAGACTAAGAATCCCAAAGTCTAGCTGGGAAGGTGACTGCATCCACCTTTAAACACGGGGCTTGCAACTGAGCTCATATCCGCACGCCCGACCAATCAGGTAGTAAAGAGAGCTCACTAAAATGCTAATTAGGCAAAAACAGGAGGTAAAGAAATAGCCAATCATCAATCGCCTGAGAGCACAGCGGGAGGGACAATGATCAGGATATAAACCCAAGCATTCGGGCAGGCAGTGGAAACCCCCTTGGGGTCCCCTCCCATTTTATGAGAGCTCTGTTTTCACTCTATTAAATCTTGCAACTGCACACTCTTCTGGTTCGTGTTTGTAATGGCTCAAGCTGAACTTCCGCTCCCTGTCCACCACTGCAGTTTGCCACAGCTGCACACCGGCTGCTGACTTCCACCCCCCCCGGATCTGGCAGGGTGTCCACTATGCTCCTGATCCAGTGAGGCTGTGCCCATTGC